TTGTTTGAGTCCAACTGAGAGTAGGAGGTGAACTCGGAAAAGAGGGTGAGAAGAGTAACAACAAGAGGTCTAGAAAGGAGGTATTCTTTAGAGAGAGAAAGCAGTAGTTCGTAATACTAGTCAGAGAGTGAAAAATGTGATCCCCTCACCCACCGGAGTAAATGCCGTATTTATAGGCTACATGGTGGTGGGTGAGTTACATGGTGACAAGACTGCTATCATTGTCAGAACTTTCAGCCATCCTCCTACCTAGTACTAGGGGGCTTGTCCATCATTGTACCTAGTACACTGATGTGACCACTCTTCAAGGGATAGGGTGTCGTTTCCAAGGCAGACTAGGTATAGTCAACTTTCGGCTGAAACACCGTCGTTCGGTCGTTTGGAGTCCATGTCCGCGCATGAGGCCTCCGGGCGCTTAAACTTCTCGCGTCTGCGCGGCTTTGGGTACGGCTTTGCAAGCGCGGCATCGCGCTGGCCTCTTGGCGCGCCTAGACCCGAGCCGTATGCCCAACAAGTATGACACAGTGGTGTGACAATATGAAGTATTATCATAAAGTAGATACTACATGATGATATCTAGGGGTGGTAATCGGTCGGTAACCGGTTAAACCGGTTACCATTTGATCGGGTACCGGTATACCGACCCTCCTATTGCCTGCGCCGTTTACCGCTACCGAATATACTTTGATACAACGTTCACCGATTGGGACGGTTTCGGCATTTGCACCGGTTTCCCGTTTAACCGAAAGGTGACTGGCTACAGAAATTTTGTGCTACGGACAGAGAAACTATTGCGGCAACCGGCAAGACTGTACCCTGCTTTTCGATGGGGCACGATGGTTGCTTTCACTGACAGAGAAACAAAAGCAATTGCGCCTACTGTATTGTCTTCTTTTTGTTTCTTGTTTGGGGAATTGGGTCCAAACTTCAATGTCCAGCTGTCCCTCTCTGAGACTCTGATAAGTGATAACTGATAAGAAAATGCCAAACAAAAACACAAAGAATCATATGGTTCTGCTTCCACCTGGCTATGTATCCATCTCTAGCTCTGATAAGAAAATGCCAAAAATTGAATTATGAAAGAACGGGAATATGAAAATTGAAACGATCATGAAAGAATCAAACTCAGCTATACAAGTTAGTAAGTTACCTACCTCAAATCAAATCGACGGTGAGACACTGAGACTTAGGACGAACTGCTGAACTGAAACTATTGTTTGCTGGGCTGTGGGGTCATGGGAATTAGCTCCGACGGGACGGCGACGGGGTTCGACGGGAACAGGGCAATGACGAAGGGCTTTACGGAAACAGAGCTTGGCAGAGAGGATGAGGCACCCTGGGTTGCTGAGTCGCGTCTCTTGGATGGAGTTTGCGCGGGCAACGAGCAGACGACGAAGATACCGCCGGTTTCGGTCGTCGGAGTTTGGTTGGATGAACGGAGGAGGGATTGGCGGTGTGATTCGTCGAGCTCGTGCAGCGGGCAGGGGAGATCTTAGGTGTTGCTAGCTAGGGCGGCCCGTGGCCGAAGTTGTTGATGTTTGATGGCTTCAAGCCTTTTTCCAATCGGTATCGGAATACTGGTATGCCGACGGTGTTTTACCGTACCTATCTCGGTACACCGCCATCCAAATTCTCATCTCCGAATACCGTTTGAAACGGTTAACGGTTTAACCGGTAACCACGGTTATCGGTACGGTTATCGGTTAAACCGTTAACCAGAATACCGTTAACCACCCCTAATGATATCCATTCAGATATTTTGTGAACGAAAGATTTTCACGACATCTTACGATACGACAATCATGTGTTGTCCCTTATCCGTATTAAGATGATGGTTTGACAGTGATAAAAAGACAACAAACACATGTTTTAGGCTCTGCCGCCACCAGTACTATATTATTGGCTTGTCATTAGGGTTGTTAATAAACCAAGCTATTCACGAATGGCTCGATCTCGAACTCGATAAAAGCTCGTTCGATCCAATAAAAGCTCGATTAGTTTATTAACTAGCCGACCTTGAGCTTAACCTTGTTCGGCTCATGAGGCTCGTGAACTAGTTCGATTCGGTGACTTGTTGATTTCGACTCATGAACTATCTATCTCATTTTTTGAACTCATGAGATGTCTCAACATTGTAATTAGCGAGCCAACTTGATTACGACTTATGAGAAAATGGATCTATATCTTATGAGTTGGTTTGTTAATGATGCATATATTTATTAAATTGTATATCACACCTCCTGTGATGTTTGATAATTTAAGTATATATGTGAGCAAATATTTCTCGTATATGACATGAAGATCAGTTAATCACATGTATCGTATAAACATTAGGGTATTTAATTCACAAATTATCTTAGAGTTAAGCTTGAGTCGCAATTTTTCTCTTTATGATGAGCAGATTCAATAAATGAGTTGGCTTGTGTTCTACTCGACTCAGCTCGTTCATAATCAAATCGAGCTCGAATTCGACTCGTTTATAATTTATAAACAAACCAAACATGAACAAAACAAAACTCTATTCGGCTCGACTGATTAACAGCCTACTTGCCATGCATCAATATTTGTTGACTGAGTTGAAACATTTCCAGTCTGTCGACCATTTATTCTCCACTATGGTAGGTTTTTGTATCACTTAGCTTAGTCAGCTGCTGCAATCCTGATTTTCGTGACTCTCTTATGAAGCATATATGTGGCTATCAACCAATATCATTTTATCCACGATCACGTTGAGAAGGGGCTCTGGATGGGTCACCCTGTTGCCTTGCCTCTTCTAAGTTCGCTAATCTGATCTACCCACCAAAGTAAGGCATGCATTGCTGCTTTCACTTCCAGTATCTGTGTCTCCTCGGGTCCTACATCTTGCAAAGAACGTATCTTGGTGGCAACTAGTAACTGGGCATCCAACCTGTTATGACGAACTCACTCGAATGGTTGAGGCTATCTGGAAGGTGATTTTATTATTGTTATGTTTTACATCCTTTCATTCGTATCGTGTCTTTCGCTCCTTAGAGCTTTTATAGAGTTTCCTTGTGTAGTGGCAAAAAACACTCTTTCATCGATAGTTCAGTTGGATACGGACTATCGCATATCATTTTTGTTGGTCTTGTAATGTGGTTGTCTGTGTTTGCACCTCCTTGACAAATCTTGGAAGAAGAAAGAAAAGTTAACTTGAAACCATAGAAGGCAGTGAAACAAATTAGATGTGACAATTATCATCGATAACTATAACTTTGAGAGGATATTCATTCAAATCTAGAAACGACCGATAACTAGAGATTTTAGCATTTTTTTATCAAATGAATGGATTTCATTTAGGTAAAGCAATAGCTTAAAGGTTCGTTGGTTTGAAGTAAAAGGATTGGGTGAATCGTGGGTCAATCAGAACTCCCTCCACTCATCCAATTTTTAGTACGTCACCTATTTTATAAACCACACCCATCATATTAACCACCAACAAAATAATAAGTGGGTCGATCACAAATTTTAGATTTTCTTATCTTGTTAAAATTTCCTGTACATCATACATGATATATATATATATAGGTTTGCCAGGACAAATCCTCACTACATAACTACATTTTGGGGGGAAAATCCCAAAGTACACTAGTTCTTAAAAAAATTTCCCAAAATACATAAGTTATAAAAAAAATTCCAAAAGTACACATGTTTGAGCATCACCGTTTTAGACAAAAGCGGTGAAGGTCATCACCGCTTTTGACCAAAACGGTGAATACTTCACCGTTTTTGTCTAAAACGGTGATGTATTCACCGTTTCAAACTAAAACGGTGATTGCTTCACCGCGTGAGAGCAAAACGGTGACTGCTTCACCGTGGGAGAGCAAAACGGTGATTGCTTCACCGCGTGAGAGCAAAACGGTGAAGCACTGAACTGCGTCCAAACTTTAAAACAACGTAACTTTGTGCTCGGTTATCCGATCGTAGCGAATTTTTTTTTGATTCCGCATAATTTTTCGAGATCTTGCAAGCCGCAGCCGGAGGCGGTTTGGTCCCGCCTTCGTCTCGAAAAAATGTCGTTTGCTACCCCGAACGACCCATTTTTCGATTTCGTCAAACTTTGAACGACCATAACTTTGTGGTCCACAATCCAAAAATCATGAATTTTTTTTTTGATTCCGCATAACTTTTTAAGGACTACAATTTTTAGTAGGAGAGAATTTTCAAAAAATGAATTATTTATGGATATAAGGGATTTTGGGAATAACTTTACCTTCCCTTTTCAGGAATCCAAGTACATTCCGAAATTATGTCTATGATAAAAATTGTAGTCCTTAAAAAGTTATGCGAAATCAAAAAAAAATTCATGATTTTTGGATTGTGGAGCACAAAGTTATGGTCGTTCAAAGTTTGACGAAATCGAAAAAAGGGTCGTTCGGGGTAGCAAACGACATTTTTTCGAGACGAAGGCGGGACCAAACCGCCTCCGGCTGCGGCTTGCAAGATCTCGAAAAATTATGCGGAATCAAAAAAAAATTCGCTACGATCGGATAACCGAGCACAAAGTTACGTTGTTTTAAAGTTTGGACGCAGTTCAGTGCTTCACCGTTTTGCTCTCACGCGGTGAAGCAATCACCGTTTTGCTCTCCCACGGTGAAGCAGTCACCGTTTTGCTCTCACGCGGTGAAGCAATCACCGTTTTTCTCTCACGCGGTGAAGCAATCACCGCCCTTCTCTGACGCGGTGAAGGCCCAAACATGTGTAGATTGGGAATTATTTTCATAACATGTGTATTTTGAGAATTTTTTTTAAAAACATGTGTAACTTGGGATTTTTTCCTACATTTTGGTACCTATTAACATGTTGATGGATGATAGGGTGAAATTGTATTCGTTCTGCCGTGCCCTCCCTACCAAACAAACATAGACACATGGTGATCATATATTTGATTGTTTACATAACAAACTCCACAACCCCCATTTCCTAGCTCCCATTTCTCACAATCATTCCCCACAAAGAAGCACCCTTCACCTTTTTACACATTTAAAAACAAACCCACACATATTCCCCCATTCCTCCTCAGATTCCAACACCCTCTTCCTCTCACTATTCCAAAACCCACATCCATACTCTGCTTTTCCCCCTCTCTTCACATCTCCAGCCATGTCTCTCACCCGCCTCTCTTCCTCTTCACCCCCATCATCAAAACTCTTCCACAAACCGATCCACCATCGAAACGACTCCGACGAGCTCGATGTATTCGAAGCCGCCAAGTACTTCTCCGGTTACAACGAACCCATTCGCCACCACTACACCACAAGCAAAAACAGAGCATCCTCTGTTTCCCGAAGAATGAGCCTAGACACGTCAATGTCAAACATAAACGACCACCAACAGCAAATCCTGAAGGAAAAGACCTTCGTCAACAGAAACGGGAAGCCATATAAGCAGCCGAGCTCGCCAGGAGGGAGGCTAGCGAGCTTTCTAAACACTCTGTTTCACCAAGCGGCAGGGGGTTCCAAGAAGAAGAACAAGAAGAAGCAGCCACCCAAATTGACGGAGGAAGAAGACGAGATCAGCCCATGTGGGCGGAAGCGGAGGAGCAGCATTAGCTATTTCTCCAGATCATTTGCTGATACGAAATCATGGTACTCTGCTACATCGTCGAAATCGGAGTTCAGGAGGAGTCCTCCGCCGCTCTGCACTCCGACCAAGGCCGGGTTCAGAACCGTGGTTTGCGGTTTGAATCAGAAACCGGTTTCGGGCAGGGATTCGTGGTGTTTGGATGAGAAGGTGGCTAAGCTTAGCAGCAACGATGGGTTGTTGTTGACTGGTTGTGAGGAATCGAAGGTGGATGATGATGGAGGTGAGAGTGATGCCAGTTCTGATTTGTTTGAGCTGCAGAACTATGATTTGGATGCTTACTCTAGTGGTCTGCCTGTTTATGAAACGACGGATGTGGGTAGCATCACAAGTGGGAAATAGTAACCATATGAAGGATATGTGAGGATTAGTTTAATTAATAAATCAATTAATCATTTTGGGAATCTGATCTTTGTACATTGTGGTTCTTTCTCCCTTCTAATTCCTCACAAATTTTGTTTCTTTGTTGTTTTTTTTGTTGTTTTTACTGTTTAGAAGCTATGATAAGAAAGAATTGGAATTATGGGATTCACCAATTTTGCTTGGCTGTTTGAGTTCTTTCACCTTCTGTCTCTCTTTGCTTTGTTCTCAAGCGGTTTGTCTAGTATGTAATTTTCCAAAGTTTGTGAAACTGTACTAGTCTGATTGGAAAAAAAAAATTATCATCGAAATTTAAATTGGTAGGCGGGTTATAGCAATATGAACGCTATATCAAGGATAAACTACAATTTTACCACAAAATTTTATACTATAAACTTTTTTTGGTACCATCTCCTATACAGTTTTATGATCCTTGTTTGCTTATATTTTGAATCCTCATCATTTGTAAGATATACCTCCATTTCTACAATATATATATATATATATACCTCCATGTAATCCTTATGATTTTATGTATAAATTTATAATACAAGTGCTTGAATTAGTTATAGATTTTTTACGTATTATATATATACCTCCATGTAATCCTTATGATTTTATGTATAAATTTATAATACAAGTGCTTGAATTAGATATAGATTTTTTACGTATTATTATTATATTTGTCCAATTATAGTAATTAAGATTTATATATATTTTCTATCAAAATTTATACATTCTGCGGGGATCATACTTATGAATACTTCCCCATTGGATTGGGTTGGCCTTCGCTTAGATTGTGGCCATGATTGAAGTTCTTCTTTAATAAAGGTGATTTGAGAGGAACTGTAAAATTGGAAACACAGCATCATTATCAGTATGGGGCACATTCATCGTTTTGCTTCTTTTGACTTGGGGATGCACCAATTAATGATTAATAGTATGCAGGGCTCAATAATTACGATACCTGTTGGCTCAATCCACAAAGCAAAAGTGAAAAATCGAAACACATGATATAAGATTTACGACTTTTTCTTGTTCAATGTGAACAAGACTATTTCGCGAAAGTGTGAACTTTCAGCTGCAAGGTTTCTTATTTTTTGTTGTCGAAAACTAAAATTCGGCTACAATGGCTACCAAGCTTATATCAACAAGATGGAAAACTCGAAACCCTCAACAAGTAACGTGGGAATGGATAAATTATAAAATAGTATACGAGAATTAACAAAAGCAACAAATTATGTCCCACTATATGCGTCCACAAGCCCTCGATATGCGTCCTCAAGCAAGGGAATGTATGTCAAGTTAGCTGATTTTGGAAATAAAGAAGTTGATCAAACGGGTTAGCCCCGAGTCTATTGGAAAAGATATCAGTTGGCTAATCTGAAGTAGAAATCTTGAGGGGAGCAACTTCCCCAGTCTGAACATGCTCGTGAACAAAATGACAACCCATCTCAACGTGTTTATTGCGTTCATGGAAGACATGATTAACTGCAATGTGGAGAGCATTTTGATTGTCACAGAAGATAAGAGTTGCCTAGTTAGACTGCAAACTAAGATCCTAGAGCCAGTCAGTGAAGCCAGAAAAGTTCACGAACGGTACTAGTCATGGCTTGATACTTAGCTTCAACAATACTATGCTTCTTAGTTTCCCAAGAAATAGAAGCCCCACCAACTCCAAGCGTGATGAAGTAGCTAGTAGCCGAATGATGAGTTGTCGGACACTCGCCCTAATCAGCGTGACAATAGGTAGTTAACTTAATGAAACTTTTTGTAGATAAGTAGAGGGTACAACAGGTGAAGACTTGAGGTATCAAAGAATTCGAGTAGTAACATCAACGCGTGCTTGTGTTGGTGAATGTGCAACTTGATTGAGAATATTCACATCATAGGCGATGTCTAGGCTAGTGACTGTGAGATAGAGTTCCCAACCAATGAGTAGATGGAAGAGGCATGATCCGTAACTTCAGTCGAAGATAAGCGACCCAGTTGATGGTTCTTCTCAATAGGGGTGGCACAGGGGCATGAGGCTTCAAGACCTAATTCAACCAAAATTCCTAAGACATACTTACGTTGGTTCAGAATGATTCCCTGACTAAAATAGAGCCACCTCAACAGAAAGAATGTACTTCAAATCCTCCAAATCTTTGATGGTGAAACGATGACGAAGAAAATTTTTCACACGTTGGATAAAGTTACATCATTCCAAGAAAAAATAACGTCATCCACACAAATAATAGCCACAACAAAAGCCTTGTCACATCAAATGATCGGAATGTCTCTGTTGAAAATGAAGTTCATGTACAACATTAGTGAACAAATGATACCAATTTTGAGGGGCTTGATGGAGACCCTACAAGGATTTAGGGAGACGACAAACCCGACTATCTCTCGAACATGCCAAACCCTAAGGAACTTTCATATATACTTGTTAATCTAAGTCTCCATGAAGAAAGACATTATTCACATCTAATTAGTGGATGATCCACCCACGAGTAACAACCACGAAAATTGGACAACGTACAATAACGAGCTTGGCGGTTTGAGTGAAGGTATAACGACAATGCCTTATATATGAGTTAAGGCCTTTGCTCCTATATGATCCTTGTACCATTCAATTGTTTTGAACCCCTGTATTTGATTAGGGGAGGCGAGTTCTAGTATGTAGTTAGGGTTTGTTAATTGAATGTGAACCTAGTCCTAATTTCTATATATCTATGCTTGTTTGATCTTTGATCTTGTCAATTTCTTGCCTCAATAGTGGGCTATTGAATTGTTGGTTGAGGTGACCATCCCTTAGTTTGGGATTAAAATATAGAAGTGTGGTTGCAAGTCATGAACATTGCAACAACCGCTAGTCCTATAGACTTCTTGCTACTTAGAAGATTGGCAAATTGTGTTAGGTCTTGCATCAATCACATGCTCATTCGACTACTAGAATGATTCGATCCTAAGCAACTAATTCATCTTTAGCGACCGACCTCCCAACTAGTTAGTTGGTTATGCTTTCTTTCTTATTTAGGTTAGCTAGTTCGTAAATCAAACTTTTCTGTTTGATTAGATAGTAGTTTAAAGTGAAGCAATAGTAAACCTAAGTTGCCCGTGGGAATATGGCATCAACGGTCTCCTCTATACTACTTCGCCAGTTCGAATCATACTTCGCTTGAGTTGGAGCCATTTTTATATTTTTTGGAGATGACTCACAAAATAGTTGTCTTAGTTTGGCTAGTGGTTGACAAAATGTCTTGTTGATAGACGTTTTAATTATTTGAGTTTATGTTCGGTTTGAATTAATCTGTTCGGGTTTATTTTGGTTATTGGAAAATAATTGGGGGATTAATAAGTTGGGGTAGTTAGTAGGTAATTTTGTTTTGGGTATTTAAACTATTGTTTTACGTAGGTAAAGGCAAGAAAAGATTAAACCTAAATCTTAATTGCTCTCTCCCTCTCTCTTTCCTCTCTCGGCCGCCGAGCCCCTCCCTCTCTTCCTCCAAGCTGCCGATCGGCAGCAGCCTCCCTCCCTCCTCTCTTCTAATCTCAATCCTCCAAATTCACCCTTCCTCAATTCCTAAATTCCCGGATCAATCCCTAGTTGATCCCTAATCCCCAATCTCCCGATAGAGCTTAATCCGGAGCTCTATCACTTGTTAGCACCGTAGACATATGGGGACAAATCAAACTTGATAATATAGCATGGTCACAATTTAATTCGTGATTGGTTGTCTACTAGTTAGAGGTGTGATCAAATCATATAAACATCTACACATTCAATCTTCCATGAGACAGTTTAATCCAAGACAAACAACCTTCTGCTAATGTTACACAGGCTGCCGACAAGGTTGCAACTTGCAATCATGGCTATTTGAGAGGCTGATCTCATTGAGATAGGTATCAACTACTCATCCAATTATGTATCTCTCTCCCATTAGAATAGCACCACTTCGACTGAATCAAAATGTATGGTTTAAAACACTTCATTGACTGGTAAGATGCTCATGCCATGCCTTGTCGAGTTCGTATGGAGAATGCTCAATCTCTCTCGTCATGAACAGAAACCGATTTGGAAGCTTAGAGAAACGTACCCGGGCAATGGGCGGTTGAGTAGATTTTAGTCTAAAATTGACCCACCCGCTTACTAGCGGCTTGGAATATATGTGACACGCAATACACCACATACTTATGCGGGTTGGGTAGGTTGGGATGCGGATGGGTGCGGTTGGATCGCGCGTTAACTCGCAAAAGCAATTCTCCAACTAGCCATTAAGAAAATTGACTAAGATTTATAATAAGTTCAAAACAAATTAGTAAGGTTGTATCAATAATTTGTGATTTTGATATAATTAATAATTTACGGTTTCTATCCTAATATTTAATGGATATTAACAATAATTTGCATATCAATACCCAATGGATATTGCACAACACAATAACCAATAATAGTAGTCAAAACTATTCTTTATTCTCCACATTTTGAAGTATATGGTTAGACTGTAGAGCAATTCGAAAATATGATGATATTCGATACTATAAGAAACAACATTTTTCTATGTAATAATAGGATGCAGGTCATACGGGTGAGGCGCAATCCATCCACCATCCACCCACATAAGTGTTGGTGGGAGATTTAATAATCAGCAATCCACCCGCATCAATCACCCACTATATACGGGTCGGGTTATTTGCGGATGGACCGATATCAATCCGCAGATTAACCACCCACCTGCCCTCCCCTAGTATACCAATTTAGCCACCACAAGTTAAATGCTTCTAATGGAACAGTGTTCAGCAAAACCAATAGTATAGCCATCTTCGGCGCTTCTCAATGTGTTTGTAAAACAATACCGTACCGATGGTCCTATCGATAAAATCTTTTATCATAGTCAAAATCGATAGATGGGTTTTAACAATATGTAACGATTATATCATGATTTCAACATAAAAAATTATATTTTGAGTTTTCCGATACAAAACAATTTTATCGTCGCTGATCTCATTTCATACACGTGTCCATTCTTTAGTAACAACCATTCGATTCGAGATCATCAAATTGAACTTATGATCCAAAAGGAGTGGATAGTGGCTCCTGTTTTGGCTAGGATCCACTACTTTAAGGCCATAGGTCCTTGCAAATTGGAACAGACCCGGCCGGCACACTGCAACGTCTC